TTCTCCATTCTTTTTGTCCTATACATAATTTTCCTAAAATGGTACGTATTCGAAAATTTTGACAAAAAGTATAAAATACGAATTTTTTTAAAAAAATTTTTGTTGTTTGCCATGTCATTCTCTATAATTTTTGTTCTATACATGATTTTTCTAAAATGCACCGCAATGGAAAAATTAGAGGAAACGTAAAATTTTAATTTTTGTGTATTTTCATTGAGAATGAATATATACCGGGTGTTCGCACGAAACTTATCTTGTGTTTTAAAAGATATCGACTTGAACTTTTGTAACGTCATTAAGGAAATAGGGGGAAAATTAATAGTACATGAGATACCACCCCAACGGGATACTCGTCGCCCCCAGCCACCCCGGCCCAAAAATTTAAATGACACCCTGAATTTTATTTGACATATTCTGAAAGAGCGTAGTCTTTTAGTGTCTATATGTGAAAAAATTACTTAATTATATAATGAACTTTGTAAGATATTTACAGCTAAAGGTTCAGATACCAGATGTTTAGAAAAAAACTGGTAACCTTGGATAGTAGACAAATGTCGAAATAATTAAAAAAACATCAACCCATACCTGGCTACGCTGACCGGCATAGACTCCAACGGCCTGGACACAGCTCAAATTGAATTGAAAACGTAAACTTTTTCACATAATTTCTTGCGATTGCGCATACCAGTCCATAAATATGCAACAAGAAAACGAAGCAACGATTTATCGTAGGGTGACGGCTTCGCCGCCACCAAAAACATCAACCCATACCTGGCTACGCCGACCGGCGTAGAACAAATAACAAAAAGCAATTGGCAACATCGCTGAAATACGCACAGGCGCTCTTAGTGTGACTGTCAAATCGAAAAAATTTAAAACAATCATTTGAAGGTCAATGCTGGGTTCATTTGTAGAGCACAAGAAATAGACGCTTCTGTAAAACTCTTACAAAGTTAATCATGTAATTAAGTCATTTATGCACATAGATACTAAAAAACTACGCTCTTTCAGATTATGTCAAAGAATATACAGAGTATCATTTAAATCTTTGGACTGGGGGTGGCTGGATTTCAAGTCGATATCTTTTAAAACACCAGATATAATTCTATTTAAAATTATTAAAAAATGCTTTGAGTAAGATGCGTGTGGAAAATGTATGTTTTTAGTTTATCTTCTAAACATTTACAGGGGTGTTACAATAGGTCATACAAAATATAAAGCATGTAATAACTATACAGGAAAGTAATGTGTTGAACACATCAGATTTTTAAAAAAGTGTTTTTGTTAACATTTTATTTGTTGATCGAAGATTCTTAGGAGACATTGGTAAACATAAATTAATCTAATATAATTGCTTCTTAATATAAGTGTAGAATGAAACCTATTTTATTATTTTTATTATTAGATTTTGAGCTATTTGCAGTGAATTAAGTGTTGTTTTGAATTCTACGCCCCAAACAGTAATGCAATAACTTATGTAGTATAATTAAATTTTTCTTACTTAATATATCACGCATTTCATAGAATTTGTTCATCAAAATTCGGATTCTTTTTGTTAATTATCCAATATGCTCAGAACATTTTAAATGCTGATCAATTAATTTTGATCTAGTATATTTGGTTGTTTTAACATGACGTGATAGCTTATTATTATTTAGCCAATTATAATTTTTTTAAATTTAATTTCCATTGTCATTTGGTCTTCTTCCCATGCTGTTTTAGTAAAATAATAGTATATCGTATCGTATCATCGGCGTAACAAGCTATGTGGACTTTAAAATTATTAATTTTAGTTATATTGTTTATGTATGCAAGGAATAATAGTATTGGTCCCAATACGATTCCCTGCGGTACTCTGGTTAGGACATTACATGTGAAACTCACATAATTGGCAATTTTAACTCTATATTCTACCAGTTAAGTAGTTGTTCAATAAATCTGACCTTCTAATGCCATAATTTTTTGATAAGTTGTGATCCGTAGTATCAAATGTCTTTGCAAGGTCTAAAAAACTGCTATGAATTTTAATGAGCATTTTATTAAACTGAACGATATATGTCTTAATTATGCTATTGCTTTAATGTCAGTTTTATTTGTAGCATTTATTAATATATTTATTACAGCATTTATTTATAGAAAAATAAGCAGATCATATTGTTTTATTGTGTATACAATAATAATTATATGATTTATAAATATCGAAGGTTGTTAGATGTAGAAACATATCAATCATATGAAATCCAAAATAAATAATGGTGTTCATATACATTTCTAGATGTTTTCATTTTTTTTTAAATCGGTAATTTTCATCTCTCCTTAATTATGTTTTCATTTCTTCTAAATCATAATACAAAATCTTTATTTCTCACGTTTTGCATTTTGAATATTTTAATAATAACAAACAATGTATTTTTAATAATAACCTGAGAAATTACCATTATTTACTTCATTCCTTTAATGAGAAGTAATATTTATCAACAGGATCTTCAATTATAAATTTGTTGATTTCTTCTTTTGCAAATACACGTGATTTTTGGGTTTATATCCACTGCTTTTGTGTTTCAGAAATGCTGAGTCTGAAAAGCTTTGAAATGTCAATGATTTCTTTTATTGTAGGAGTTGATTTTAGCATAGACTGATTTTCTGTTATAACAGCTTTCTTCTTTTTTTTTACATCATGTGTTTAATTGAGAAGTATGAATTTATATACAATCTCTTCGATTTTTCTGGCAACAAATCTCTAATTGAAGTAGTTACAGTGGGGTACACACACCCTAAATCACTGTCACTAAAATATTCACCCATTTTACACTTTTATTCATACATTTTACCTAGAATTTTTAGATAGTCTATATTTTCTAAAAAATAACATTTTATATTGCATTCCATTTGTTTCATTTTAGATATAATTAGGACTGTGGGCCGTGTGACCTTCTTCACCTCGAACTTTTCAGATCTATTGTAGATAACCTTTAATCGTTGTTTAGAGTACCTTGTCTAGTTTGGTATTTTCTTGATAGAAATTCACAGAGGCATAAAATGTGTACTGCAGTTTCCTTGTCTTCCTTGAAGAATCAGCAGAAGGTCTCTTCTGCTAGACCAATGTTATACACACGTTTGTCAAGCCCAGACCAATGTTATACATAAGTTTGTCAAACAAACAATGTCCTGTTAATTAGCCTACTAATACTCTAGTATTTTTTCCTATTTTGGCTTAGTATATGTTCGGTCAGTTTTGGCGATGGTCCCTGGCCACAAAGGACATAAGGTAAACAGAGAGGCTGATTTACTTGCCCGGAAGGCTTATTGGCCCAAGCAATGGATGTTTAAAAAGTTTCAGGAATAGTGGAAAAACTCACCAGGACACAGACAGGCTAAATAGTTCTTACTTTTAAGAACTATTTTGCCTTTTTAAATATCCACTGTTTTGTGCATGTTCTGATAGCTATCTTTATGACACCACAGAAAGGTGCTGGGCCAATAAGAGCTTTTAAGGCTCCTTCTCGGGCTAGTAAGTCAGCCTCTTCGTTGTCCTTATGTCCTCTATGGCCTGGTGCCCAGGCTAAAGTTGGTCTGTTTTAATTAACCAGCTTGACTGTCTAAGTATATGACAATGGTTTTTATATTTTATCTTTTGCGCGGTGATGTATTACTGTTATTTCTGCCTGGAATACTGTCGCATGTTTACCTAAACTCGGTGAGATTGTCTTTGCCTATGTCTACTCTTGAACCTTCATGGGTTTTGGAACGCTTCCCTATTTTATATTACTTTTGAACGCTATATTTTGGAAGCATTTCGTCTGAAGGCATTCCCATTATTTGGTAGTTCTCCCACTCTTTATATACCTCATAGTCACGTCCATGCAAACTGCCTATGGGCGATGGACCTTTGTGCAGTCTGCGATATGCAGTCTACGAAATAATGAAAATTGTTTTTAAACCCTCAAAGTTTTACGTTTACGCATGCTTCCTTACCACCTCGGCCATCAAGACATTAGATATTCGGGGTCCGAATTATTAATTGAATATTAGATCCGGACATAGAATCTCCTGATGGCAAAGTTGGCAAGGCAGCGTGCATAAATGTGGACGAGGAGGATCCGAAACCTTCGGGGAATAAAATTTTTCAAAAAATTAATATCCACTTTAAAAATAATTTTCATTATTTTATAATTTTGAAAAAATGTATTTGGGAATTTATGAAAGTGCGTTAATTCCACATTTTTGTAAATCAACGGAATTTATTTGACAAAATATAAAATATACTCTTTCGTTCATTGACACAAATATCAATTAGGTTTATTGACCGTAATGAAAATATATATATTACTTATGTCACGGTCCCGACTTGATTAACGTTGTTATTAAAAATAACCGATGCCAAGAAAATGGCGGAATCATGTTTAGTATAAAATCAAAATGAATTTGGATTTTAACGTTAAATATCTCGGTATATTCCAAAAGCCATAAAATTTCACAACCGAACGTTATTTTGGTTACACTTCAAGAATAGTAATTTACGTTTTTCTGAAATCTCCTATGAGAACTTTATGGGCTTGTGCCAAACTAGAAAAAAAACATGTTTGTATAACGCTAGTTAATTTCATTTTCTACCAAATATTTTGTTTAGTTCGTCAGTAAGTCAGTTATAAATTTGATCTGTCCAGTTAAAGTAAAAATCAAGGCTAAGATATCTGACTATATTTGTGATTCTTTAAGAATACATATTAACACCCTAAAAATATACATATAAAATCTTTATTCCATTGAATAAGAGCGTTTTTAGATTTCAGTCCATGCATAGGTTTAACTAGGTATAAACCCTTGACGCGATGAGCGGCACCTTCCAGACACAATACCACTTGATTTGTATCCAACGATGTGACAATATTGTCACGTTGGGCGCCAAAATGTCGCTATTGCCGGAACTAATACTTCGTTTCAACGTCTAATTTCTTTTACAGCAACTATTTTCAGTACATGTTTACGTTTTGTTTCAGAGTCCAGTCACCTCAGCGATTCTAGCTCTGGGTACTGGCAGCTTCAGCTCGATCGGGATTTGGTAGATACCATATCAGCAATCTACCCGGAGTGGTTTAGGGACAACATGGCCGAAGGGGGTGGTTCGCCCAACAGCCCACGGGAGTCCCCACCCAAGGCCATCATAGACACATCTCCAATCATGATTGACCAAAACAAAGAATGTAAGTACGCTTGCCTTTTATTCATCACTATTATTCTAAAAGACTCTAAATGATATCGGGTATAGCTTTTAAAACGATGAATTATTAATAAATGAGTATAATTTAAAAAGTTGGGAATGGAAAAGAAGAGAAAAACAATAGATTGTGTTTAAACTATATTAATATTCTTCCTTGGAACGATACTCTAATCCAGTGGCGGCTTGTCGTAATTTAAAATAATTTTATCATTTGTGAGTTTGGTTCAAAACCTTGTACAAGGGGCGGCTTGTGAGCAAAATTTTGGGGGTTTACAGTAGCAGACTATAGATCCCGGTACAGATATAGGTAAAAAACTGTCATTGTTTTAGAAAGGTATATTATTAACTTTCTAAAACACGGAAAGTTTTTTCATACATCTGTACTGATACCTATATTCTGTCACTGTAAACCACCGCACGAGCCGCCACTGGTTACATAAAATAATATATTTTTTTAAATAGCCTTTATTGGCAAAAAACAAGTGATATAAAATGTGTGTTTTATAAATTTAGTCCCATCACAATACATAATATTACACAGATACAAACTAGAATAAATATATATAATGGGTGGCACTCTAAGTTATAATTTCCACAGTTTAACAGACCCCATTAACCCCCATTTTCAATCAGATTATTTTCAGAATTTTCATCCCGTTGTAGAGCTTGATTTTTCCAAAAATTTCAAGTTGATATTATTGTTTGTTTTTGAGTTAGATTTATTTTAAATATTTAAACCCACCTTAACACCCCCCCTTTTATTCAATTTTTTTTCACAATCAATAGGCCTCATATCCTTATAGAGCTTGATTTCTACTAAAAATTTCATGTTGATATCGCTTCTCATTTATAATTTAGGATTTTTTTTAATCTCAACCCATCCTAACACCCTATTTTTAATCAGATTTTTTCATAAACAATAGGCTTTGTCCCTTTATAGAGCTTGGTTTTTGCTTTAAATTTTCAAGATGATATCATTTTTTGTTTTTGACTTATCGTGCAGACAAAAACCGTGACATCAGACAACGTAAACCTATAATACTGTTCACATATTACTGTGTAAAGAGTAGAATAATAATATAATCAAGGCTAAAACAATAACATATTAGCCTAAAAAATAGGTACACTAAAAGAATGATAAAGTCAGAGTTGAAAATTATTTAATAGGTATATCAGTACTTCGGAGATAAACTGTGCTGTCATTCTAGTCAGGTTTTAAGTAGAACAGACTGAATGTTGGTGGAATACTTTTCGTGTTCCATATTTACATATAATAATTATATTTCGACAAGAAATTCAGTTGGCCCCAATTATTGTCACAATATGTATTGTTTACTAATAATCTAACTACCTATTAAAATTTTTTTTAACATACATGAATTGTTGGTTTTGTAACATATTTCTATGTTAACAAATTTTCTATAATATACCTAGTGTCTTATACCTCCAACATGCCTCTACAAATAGTACGACTAACGTAAGAGTTAAATAGTGTTGTTTAACGTTTAACTTATATGTTTAATAAATATTGAACATAGCGCTTTCTTTTTTTTTAAGTCAACTTATATTGTGACATCACTATGCAAGGTATACAATAACCTGAAAAGGTCTCGATGAGCCGATTTTAAAAATATAACCTTTATAAAACTTCACTATGTCTACACAGTTTACCTCTCAGATAGATATCGGTAAATATTTAATTTAGTCTTGATATAGGTACGTACCTAACATAGACACAACTATTAAGTTTTTTGAATTAATTTAGGCCAGTGCATTATTTATGTTTTATATCGTCTTTAAAAAACTGTAATGTAAGTTTATAAAATCCTCAGTACTATATCAGTCTGACAGTGTTTATCAGTACCTCTGGCATTTATAGATATGGCATTTTTCTATAACTTCAAGCGACAACCCACAAAATAAACAATTATTCATATAAAATTGTACTACAGTCACTTATAAAAGCGCGCCACGAAAACGCGATTAGCCAGAGCCCAGTGGCGTACCCAAAAATAGATATTGACACGTATAAAAACAAAATATTAAAATTGACTTAATATTTTTATGTTATTATTTTAAAATAATGTGTTTTTATAAAATGTAACTGGGTGTTCACTGCACAAATGAACCAATGGAGAAATCGCCACTGCTCTAATTCATTATACCATCTGCAAAATTCTGTTAACCAAAAAATATTTTTAGTTACGGGATAAGTAAAAATCACTGCTCCATCGGGAAAATTAGGAGTATGTGATATCAATTCGTACTTTTTAATCAATTTTTGACTAATCCTAGTCTTATTTAACGATTTTTTTAACCTAGTTCTTTATTTTTGTCGGTTATAAGCAGGTGGGGTTAGATGTAGCTCAGAACGCTGCAACTTCTTATATTTATTATATTCCTCTGCTTTTCTCGTATTTTAATACTATGTTTGAATAAGCCATAGTCTGATTAGTTATACTTGGTTCTCTACCAACTGTTCATGAGGCACTCTTTCCTTTTGTAGACCTAGCTATAGCTTCGCATTCGAAGATAACGTGGTATGCAGTTTCTTCCTCTTCCATGCAGATTCTACTCCCCTAAGAATATGTAATGTAGAAAAATTATATAATTCTCGAAATATTATTTTTATTATAAATAGATCAGAGGCGCACCATAGGGAACAACCCTCGTATTTTTCCAATCCGTAATCTAGAATTCTAGATAATTAATGTCCGAGCAACCGGTAATAATATTTTAATAAATCGCGTTAATATCGACGGCGTTCGAGCAAACAAACATGCATCGGTTCGGGGCCAACTTTAATTTTAGCCAACAATAGACACTAACTAATATTTAGTGTTCTATTAATTAAGGCCGGCGCACCGGCACTCACAGCCATTGTCACCGGAGCACACAAGCATTTTTCGTTAATTGGGCATTATTATATTTTACGGTGTCTAGCGCGCTTGTACATTCATTATGAGACTCGTAATTAAACGGTGTTTATATTCGATAGTGGGTTATCATAAATTCAAGTTATTTATCGCTGCTGGATTAAATAATATTGCATTGTATCGTTTCGTTTGGGTCAGAGGTAAAGGAACTTACTTGATTCATGTACACCTTTTTAGATTGAGAGCCAGCGACCGCCAGACCTACGTTATAGTAAAAAGATTGAGATTTTTATATTTGTGCACATAAAATAATAACCTTTGGGTGTTACGAATGTTGACTACGATATAACGCGTCCTTAAGGTACCAAAAAATTTGTCTGCCAAATACGTTATAGTATTAAAGCTGATTTATTAATATGTTCAACTAGGTGACATTATAATCTCCAATCAAATATTGCCTGAAACTTTTCGCGAGAAGTTACGTCTGCCAGACGCCTTCAAGGTGTAAGTTTTTTTTGTTAATTTCTCAGAAAATTTTATATTTGATAAAAGTTAGTACATGACCTACAACCCATTTCAAACTTCATACGAGAGAGGTAAAAAAATGAATTTAGCTCGAGTAAAGAATCTTTATTTTTAAAAAGCAAACATCTTAGTTATTTTAAAATTATTTTAATAATAATTGTTAAAGATAAATATCTAGGATCTAATTTACAACAATTTCAATAATTTAACAATCATATAGATTTTATTATTAATATGGACATTACATAGATCAAAATCAGTGGCGTGCGGTGACATTTTTGGAAGGGGAAACGATTAAAATAAAAATACAGCAGGCCAGTAAGCACAGCACCGCAGGCGAAAAATTTTTGCGGCGAATTCACCATTTTGTCAAAATCTTGCTTTTTTTTCCTCAGTACTAAGGATATTCGAGATTGAGATTTTTAAAGTGTTACTATTACTTTATTACCTAGTTTAGTACTAGAAGCTATAAAAAAAACTTACCATTGAAAAGCTTCCTTGGTTTATTTAAATGTAAAAAAAAACATTTAACTGGTTTTTTTTATTTTCTCCAACATTTTTCGCACAGTTGACACAGCAGTTGACATTTATTTATACTTAAGATCTATTCGCCTATCCTCAATGGCTGCAAATTTGTCTATAACATCGTCGTAAAATTTTGGATTTTCTGATAACTGTTTAACAAACTGTTTAACAATGGATATTAGGGCTAAATTAGAGAGTCTGTCTTCACTTGTTGAATTTTGTATAAAACTTTTAATACTCTTTAAAGCTGAAAAACTTCGCTTAACTGACACACTTGTGGCTTGGATGGTTAGTACTAATTCACACAACTTGAGGACTTCACAAAGGGACTTATTTAAACCAGTTGTTATAAGAAAATTTAACACATTGATGGGCGTCTTTTTATCACTAATTTCAGTTGCTTCATAAACAACACTTAACTTGGACTTTAATGCTGGAATATCGAAAAAATTTCCATAATTTAATTTTAGTGAATTAAAAGCTTCCGATGGAAATTTTGATGAATCGTAGTTACTAATATTAAAATTGCACAATTCAACAAATTTTAATTCGTTAAAGTTTTCCAATCGACGATAGGAGGTCTCTCTGTCGCCGACATTATCAATTCTAATTCTCTTTCAGGTTCTAAGCCAATGTTTTGAGTCTTATTCCAAAAGTGTTGAAACTGATTTCGTTTTTTTATTCATTTTATTTTTAAAATCATCAATTTGTTTAATGCAAAAGCCAATGTCATTTGACTTTGTCTGTAAAATGTCGAATAAAATGTCAGTAAAAGGCAAAATCTCTGCAAAAATGTTGAGCAAAAAATTGAAATCAAAGTTTTGTTTGAGCCAATGCAAATACAGTAACAGTTTCAGCATCCCATGTTTCTTTATTATCCCAAACGTCTTGAAAAAAGTTTATCAAAGAATCACAGTATTGAAACACTGTTTGCACTAAACGTCCATTGTAGTTCCATCGCGTCCGAGCAACTTTTGGAAACCTTCTTTGAACGTGAACGTCCAAAGTGCGAGTTCTTTTCGATGACTTTGAAAAGAAGGAAGCCAAACCACTAAGC